CACAATGCTCGGCACATAATAGGAGCCTAACAAATCCTTTTTCATTGATTCACAACAGAGATTGTGGGAGTGGCAAGAAGAGGACAGATGTGAGCAATATAGAGGCGCAATCAATATGAATGGGCAACTAATAGGTATGATGGGCCAGGGAAGAGTCAAGGAGGTGGTGAGCCTAGGGGACTGGGAGGAGAACTGAGTCCTCAGTGGAAGCAGGGAAGTGGGAGGAGGGCTGGACTCAGGAAGAAACAGCCAGTAAAGACCGTCTTTGCCCCAGAGCAATGTGCGGTGGAATCTCCCCAAATTAACAAGCACTTTCTAAATCTAGTAGGCTGTAAGAATTCTTTAATAATAGTTCCCAGACATCAAAGGACTTTAGCACACATACACATAATGCTAATTGCTATTTGGGAGATAGTTTTTCCTACATATATATATTTATGTGTGTAAGTATATATATGAATATATGAATAAATGAAAGAGCATTTATTAGGCTCTTACTATGTACCAAGCACTAGAGATACAAATAGAAACAATGTTTGTATATACATATAAATGCATATATATATGTATATACACATAATACACACAATACTCATACACATATACTTTTATGAGTATGTATATACAGATACGTATAAATAGATGCATGTATGAATATATATACAAACACACATATATGAGCTTTTAAGTTCATAATCTCCTTCCCTCTAGGAATATCTATCTACTATTTATTCATCTATCTATCTATTGATAGAACTTTGAGTCAAAGTTCAAATCCAGCCTCAAACACTTCTTACTAGTATGACCCTAGGCAAGTCACTCAACCTTTGCTTGCCTCAGTTTCCTTATCTGTAAAAATGGGGGATAGTAATAGCACCTGCCTCCCAGGGTTGTTGTGAGAATCAAATGAGATATTTGAAAAGCACTTAGCATAGTGCCTGACACATAGTAGGTACTCAATAAATGCTAAGTTTGTTCCTATCTATCCTCCACCTATCTATGTATCTATCTATAGCTATATCTAAATGTGAGGAGAGCGTGAACTTAAAAACAGTAAAGGAAAAAATATCCATGCAAACAAACATATACATATACATACTCACACAGGTACACATGTGAACATATATATACATGCCATGTGTACATGCATACAATGCACACATATACATATAAGGCACATACTCATACATATGCATTAACACACACTCATACCTGTGCACCCACAAATGCACATGGAGGCACTGCACACACATATGCACATTTGAACAAGTCACATGAGAACACTCACATATGCAGACATAGACACATGCACATCCAAATGCATGTGCAGACACACATGGTTACACATGCACTATGCAGACATATGCACACACATGCACAAACACATACATATGCACACACATATAGATATGTACATAATCCTGTCTTGTTCTTCTTGTCATCTGTGAAGGACACCAAAGTTTAAGAACCCATTTCAAGCCTCATTCTTTTCCTCAGGCTCACCAGGAAAACCCCCAGCAGCCCAGATGGATGAGACTGGAGGCCTTCATGACTCCAAGATGAGTCCCTTTTCAATGACTCAGTCAGTGGGATTTCCGCAGCCTCTCTGAGGGAGGAACACCAATCCATAGGTCAATATCCTTCAGTTCCATTACCCAAGGTTGCTCTCTCTCTCTCTCTCTCTCTCTCTCTCTCTCTCTCTCTGTCTCTCTCTCTCTCTTTCTCTCTCACACACTCTCTCTCATTTGCTTTTGTTCAGCTCATTCCTATCATTCTTGGCTCTGACTCCTAGAGTTGGCTATATCAACCCTCTCTCTGCTTCATGTTCAGACTCCACAAATACTTTTAGACATTGGTCATGGCCCCCTCTTCTAGATCCTTAGTCATCTTTTGAACCAATGGGCAAATCTGTCCTCGTAAACCCCAAATCATTTGTGGGCCGATTCTTGAGCCTTGAGGGTCCCTGAAGGACCTTGAGAATCAGAGATAGCTGTATGTGAAGTTAGAGGTGTGGTGTCTTGTATTACTCTACTTCTCTCTCACTCAGTCTACTTCTCCTTAGGGAGGAGAAAAAATTCAGTATCAGGTCCAAGTTAAATAAGTTCCATTAGATCAGAAATATCTCTTTATTTTTCTAGGTCAAGTATTTTTTAAGGAGAAGTCATGGACTTGACTTTAGAATTCAGCTTCTGTCCCTCTCTTGAATTTTCTGGGATTTCACATGGCACTGAAATATTCCATCACTTCACTCATGTTGTTTTCTTGGGCTATACAGGGTGGCCTGAAGTTCAAAAGGAGTCATCATCTTTCTCTAAGAACATACGATAGCCACCACAGCAGCTGTAATCCAGTATTATCAACAAACTTTACTCAACTCAAGCCACCATAAGGCAATCTGCTTTGGTGGTAGAGAGGTCAAAATGAGCAAATGGAGAGTGGTCTGGTTATTATAATCTCAGAAACATGCCACCACTGGTAGCAATAGGGCCAGATTTGGGCAAAATGGTTATTGGTGTTTTGTGCCTTGTGACCTCCTTTCTCTTTCTCCTGGTGAGCTGCTCTGCTCCTTCCCAGTCCCTATGTCCCCACTGACTACATCTCAATGCTCCTTCACCATCCCTAGCCAAACCTCCTTAGCTAACAAGCTATAAACAGTTTGATAAATTCATCTGCAACTCCTGGGAACATTTGCTTTTTAATAGGGGACAATTTTATAGTCCAAGGAATGAGGCTCTAATAATGGTGGAATTTCAGGAATTAGCAAATGTTTTGTAAGTTTCAGTTTCATGAGTTTCAAGGGACTTCAGAAATAATCTAATCCATTCCCCTCATTTAGAGATGTTGAAACCAGTGTCCAGAAAGGTTGCAATTTGCCCAAGGTCACAAGGAGAGTAAGAAGAAGAACCAGATTATGAACTTAGGTCTATTGGCTCAAAATCTAGTTCTCTTGGTGCTGCAGTATTAAGATGTCAATGAAGGAGATGACAGAAGGGGGAGAGAGAGAGAGAGAGAGAGAGAGAGAGAGAGAGAGAGAGAGAGAGAGAGAGAGAGAGAGAGAGGAACAAGTAAGTCACCACCTGCTCTGCCAACACATAAGGTTTTCTCTGAGTAGCCATATAGGAAATCTCATAATGAAAAGGAAGATAATCAATTGACATGTTGTCTGGGTGGGTAGTGTGGTACATGCCTGTAATCCTGCTACCAGGGAGGACTGAGGCTGGTGGACTGCTTGAGTGTGGGAGTTCTGAGTTATAGCAGGTTCATTGTATTGAGAGTCTGCATTAAGTCCAACACCAATATGGAGAACCCCCAGGAGCTGGGCCATCAGGCTGCCTAAGGGGTTGTCGATTGAACTGGGATGGAAATGGAGCAGGTTAAATCTTCCATGCTCATCAGTAGTGGAATTAAGGTGGTCACTGTGCATCCAACCTGGATGAGATAGGGAAACCCTGGAAAGGAAGAAGGGAAGAAGAAAGAAAAAAAGGAAGGAAGGAAGAAAAGAAGGAAGGAAGGAAGGGAGAGAAGAAGGAAGGAAGAAAAGGAAGGAATGAAAGAAGGAAAGGAAGGAGGGAGGAAGAAAGGAAGAAAGGAGGCAGGGAGGGAGGGAGGGAAGGAAGTTTTCTGTTAGTTGGGGTAGACTTGAGATCTCTATGATCATTTCACAATGAGACTGCAAAGAGATTCCAAGGAAGGAACAGAACTATTTAACATTATCTTTTTTTCCATTTAGATTTCTATTTTCCAAGAAAAAATGTCAATAGCGTGACTAACAACAGGTCAAGCATTTAATCCGCGTCCTCAGTTGTCCAACAGCTTTTCTCTGAAAGGACTGCTCAGGGCACCATCTAGTGGGTAAATAATCAAACTGACACAGTATGCCCCAATCAATAGACCTTTCTTCACCCTCCATCAAACATGCCAAGTTTGTGGCTTCTACTGAAATGAGCCATTTTGTCACAAAGCATAGTAAGCAGAACCAGGAAACAATAGATGCAGTGGCCATAACAATTTAAATAGAAAAAACCACCAAAAAAGACTGAAATTGAATGGTGTGTGGTCATAAAGACCAAGTGTAGCCTTCGAGAAGACATGAGAAGAGGTACTTTGGTTCTCCGATTTGTGGAGGTGTGTGGGGGGGTGACTTTTGGTTAATTTTGTTGAACTCCTTTCCCTCTCCTTTCCCTCTCTGTCTCTGTCCCTTCTCTCTCTTTGTCTTTCTCTCTGTCTCTGTGTGTCTCTCTGTCTGTCTCTCTCTCTCTCTCTTTCTCTCTCTCTCTCTCCCTCTCTCTCTCTCTCCCTCTCTGTCTTTCTTTCTCTCTCAAGCCAAGCTACTTTCAAAAGAGTTTAGACAGGTTTCTATTGGTACCTGTTTTATTAAAATGTAGATCAGCAGACCCAGAGAGCCTCTGTAGCTTTACTTTCTAATCATCTCTATAGTAGAAAGATCACTGATATCAGATTCAGAAAGACCTGATTTCAAACACCAATTGTGACACTTTACTTCATGGGTGATCCTGGAAACCTGTGAGGCCATGTGGCACAATGGAAAAAGCTATGGATTTGGAGCCAGGGATGTGCTTAGAATGGGGCTTTGCCACTTACTATCTCTGTGACCTGAGACGTCAGTCAACATTTCTGGGCCTCAGTTTCCTCACCTGAAAAAAGGAAAGAGCTTGCACTCAATGGCTCCTAAGGTTCATTGCAGCACTACCGAATATTTTATTTTATATTTTATGACCTCATTTCCCTTCAAGGTACCTTGGTTTCCTCATTCTGTCACATGCAAGATTGAACTAAGTGACTTCTGGGTCTAACCCTATTACCTCATCTCACCTCTCTTGGTCTCAGTTTCCTCAGCTATAAAATGGGAATAATATTTGCACTCCCTACTTCTCTGACTTGTGACCCCATGCCCCAGCCACAAGGAACCAAGGTCAGTCTTGTTGAAAGAAAAAAAAACAAGGGGAAAGAGAGCTCTAGCTATCACAGGGACTACTTACTCATGCAGTCTCCTCCATACCAGCCTCCTCGACATTCAGCGCAATAGAATCCCTTCACATAGAAGTCGTCCAGAGAGCCTCCCCAGGAGCCATTACGGCAGCTCTTACAGTTCTCAAAGATGGTACAGCCTGGAACACATTCAAGAAAGACTCATTATGGAAGAGGTCACATGTGCTTTGATTTGAGAGAGACAGAGACAAAGATGGGGGGGAAGGGAGAGGGAGAGGGAGGAAGGAGGGAAGACAGAGAGAGAAAGGAGGGAAGATAAGGAGTTGAAAGGGGAGAGGGAGAGAGACAGAGACAGAGAGACAAAGACAGAGAGAAGGGAGGGAGGAGGAGAGAGAGGGAGAGAAGGAGGAAGGAGGGAGGGGAGAGACAGACAGACAGAGACAGACAGAGAAAGGGAGGAAGGAGGAGAGGGAGAAGGAGAAGGAGGGAGGAGGAGGAAAGGGAAGGGGAGAAGGAAGAAGGAGAGAAAGAGAGAAGGGAGGGAGGAGGAGAGGAAAGGGAGGAATGAGGGAGGGAAGAGAGAAAAAGTCACAGAGAGAGAGATCATGAAGGAAGGTAGTGAATGACTTTTGGGGAGCTGGGTAAAGAGAAAATCTTAAGCTTTAGGGCTCTTTCAAGGTATCAGCCAGTCTCAGATGTTCAAATGGATCTATGATATCATTGATGTAAGTATTCCTTCAGCTCAAATGCCGAGCACAAGAAAAATCTTGGAGTCATCAGGAGCTGTTCCTACGAGTCTAGTTCAACTCAGCAAGTGTTGACTAAGGGCTTACTATGAAGAGTAAGGCACTACAAAAAAAAAAAAAAAACAGAAATACAGCAGTCCTTGCCCTCAAGGAATTTATATTCTGCTGGGAGAAATGCCGCTGATACACAGATAAGTACAATAAAATGTAACTGGAGGAAGAAGAGGACTCGGTCAGCTGGGGCATCCAGGAAGACTTTTTAAAAGAATTAATACCTGGGTTGAGTTTTGAAGAAAGAATAGAATTCTGATCATTAAAGATGAGGGTCCTCTGAGCACGGGCAGATGGCATGAAACAGGCTTTCTTTCCTCCTTCCCTTTCGTAAACAATGCATGTGAATCACAGGATTTCAAGCCAGGGGGGACCTTAGGGATGATTGAGTCCAATGCCCTCATTTTACAGATGAAGAAAACTGAGGCAAAAAGGGGTTAAAGGACATGCCTAAGTTTACATGAATAGCCAAGTCAGGATTCGAATTGACTTTCTCTGACCTTAAATCAAGCACTCTTTCCACTATTTACTATTGTACAGCATGGGATGGTGTTGGCAATATGTATATATATGCATATGCATTGCATATCTATATATTTATCTACAGATGTGTGTATTAGATATAGACATAGCTATAGATATGGTATATATGTATATATACATATACAAAGATGCATATCTTTACATGTGACATATGTGTATATATATACACATAGATTTCCAAAACCAACCCAATGTCGTATATATAAAACTATCAATATCTATAACATCTATATCTATCTAACCTATACCTATATCTAAACCATCTGTATCTATCTAATATATAACTAAATCATCTTTATCTACTTATAATCTGTATCTATATGTAAATATATATCTAGTCTATATCTAATGATATCACTTCTATCGTCCATATCTATTTCTATATTTATACCTATATCTATATCTATATTTTCATCTATATACCTATCGCATAGGCCAAATATGTCCCTGAAAAAATCTTGGTGCTAAACTCTAAAGATCAGTTTCTCATTATCCCCAGAGAAGTTCATAGTTGCCTCTACGTGCATTTTCTCCCCTGGGGAAGTGAATAATGGATACGATGGGGGTAGGTTTCAGCTTACTAGTTCTTGGAATCAGAGGATATGAGTTCAAATCTTGGCACTCCCTATTCCTGACTGTGTGATCTTGAGTAAGTCATTCGCATCTGTGGACCTGTCTTCTCTTCAGTAAAAGGAGAGGATTCGATGGGATGATCTCCAAGATTCCTTCCAACCCCAAATCTATGAGCCCAGGTCATTTCATTTCTCTGAGCCTCACTTTCCCTTTTTTATAAAATGAAGGGGCTGGACTAGATGACCTCTGGGTTCATGTCCAGCTCTGAACTGATAACCTCATATTCCCAGCTTTGCCTCTTCCTTTCAGGGAGGCAGTGTACTAGCTGTTCTGTCTATGCAGCTGTCTCCAGTGTTGACTTCTCGTCACAAATTGGTACTTAGCATTGGGGGAAATTCCAAAGACTTCAGAAGAGTTCTTCTGAGCTCTCTTGAGCTTCTGGTGCCTGGAAAATGCATTTGGAAATCTCTGGGTTCTCCCCAGAAGAATGCTGCTCTTCAGTTTCCAGTCAGCCCAAGGTTCAGATGTTGAGTTGTAGTTTTAAAACTTCCATAAGGAAGAATTTGGTTTTTTTAAGACGTCTGTGGAAATGTCAATGGATTTCTGTCTACACCAGGAATGAGAGCCATAACTAGCATGTGGTAAATGGGCTTTTACCCAAGGATGCTGACTGGGGAGGAGGCACAAAGATTGTCATCTTCCAAGTGGATGGTATACTTTGTCCTAACACAGTAGTGGTGGGCTCTTGGAAGACTACCATGTATTCCCACCTCCACCTCCCAACACCTGCCTCAGAACCTACCTCCTTCCATCACTTTGATTGCATCAGACCAGGGCAAACTGCTAATGTATTAGGTAGGAGGAAACCCATACACTAGGAATGCCCAGATGTCATAGTGTGGAAGAGGAGAAGGACTGCTGGATTCAGAGTCAAAGGCCCCAGATGTACAACTCTGCCATTTGTTACCTATGTAACCTTGGGTAAGTGTTTTAAGCTCCCTGAGCCTCAGTTTCCTCATCTGTAAAATGAGAGGGCTGGACCAGATGGCCTCTCAGGTTCTTTCTAGCTGTATATCTAGGACAATATCTATAGTGGCACATGCTGCTGGGAAATTATGTCTCTGAGGCTCAGTCTCCGTATCAGTTAAATGAGAGTGAGATCTCTTCCTAGCCCCATGTCTGGAGCCTGGGTCTGTCTTCTTCCTGGGTCCTTAGCTTGGGGTTAGGGTGTGCCACCACCAGAGGGCAGTCATGTTTTTGATTATGGCTCCATGATTCAAATTTCCAGGTGTCAGCTAAAGATGCAATTATGTACCTAGGGAAGAACTGCTTAGCATAACTCACTCACCTGGGTGAATCAGACAGGAGTCACACTCGTTTTCCTCATTCCGGCAGCAAGGGATAGTGTAGCCAACTACTTCTTTCTTCCCTGGGCACACACACTCAATCTGGTCATATTCACAACACTCCCGACACATGATATTCCATTCAGCCCCGGGGCAGGCTTCATTGATCACTGTATACTCTGAAATCCAAATCAAAAGCGGGCAAATGAGGACAGCCAGGTCAGTTCTGTAAGTCACTGTGTTTACACTCCCTAAGATACTGTTTCTCTGAAAAATGACTGGTCACTTTAACGAGATTCAACAAGTATTTGTTAAGCACCTACTGTACACATGGCAATATTTCTAAATCTAGAAATATAAAATAAATATTATATATTTATGTAACATATAATATATAAATATTATATAAATAAATAAAATAAACATTCATACCAGATGAGCAAATACAAAGTATATACTAAGTAAATACATTATTTTTTTTTTAGGGAAAAGCATTAACAACTGAAAAAAGTCGGGAAAGTCTTTGTAAATGGCACCTGAACTGAGCTTTAAGGGGAGGTAGGAATTCTAAGAGAGTGTGGTTATAGGAGGGAGAACATTCTGGAGAAGCATGAAGGACAGTCTATGCAAAGGCATGGGAACAGGAGACACAATTCCAAATATAAGGAATACCATTAAATAGGACAGTTAGATTGGAAAGTAGAATATGTGAAAGGGAGGAATAAGAAATCCCTCTGGAAGTATAGAAGGGAACCAGATTGGGAAAGGTTTTAAGTGCCCAACAGAAGAGTTTATATTTTATCCTTGAGTCAATGGGTGGTCAATAACACTTCTTGTGTAGGAGAATAATATGGTCAAACCCAGGTTTTAAGAATATCAATTGGACAAACCATATGGAAGAAGGGAGAGGCTGGAACCAGTTAGGAGGTTTATAGTAGACCAGGTAAGAGGGATAAAGGCCTGAAGAAGGGGGAGCTAAGTGGAGATAAGGGAACTGATCAGAGAAGTTGTGAAGGTGGAATCAATAGAACTTGGTCACTGATCTCACTCAGTGACAGGTAAGAGACTGCAGAACAGAGAATGATGCCAAAATTTCCAATCTGGAGTACTGAAGAAGAAAGAGAAACAACATGGACTCCTCCTACATTATTACAGGTAAAAGGCTTTTTTATTTCTCCTTTTGGTCGATTATTAGATAACTTTCTCAGAGCTCCAGAGTGATGTCTCTGGTTACCCAGAAGGCCGCATACATAGTGCCTTCACTGCTGATACATTGGCAGCACAAATAAGCATTTGAGATCCAGCGGAACTGAGATGTAACCTACTTACACCAGGTGTCTTTGCTCATGAGAAGCAGTGTTCCTTTCTGGGAAGAACTTTTATTCAATTTTTAAAATATGTATATTTATAGCACATTTACACCCTTAATTCCGAAAAAGAAACCCGCCAGCCATATGGTGAAATCCAACTATAGAAATTCCCCATAAGGAGACCCAGTCAGAGGCCTGTCCAGTCAGAATGCAGGCCAAGACGCGTGGTCTAGATGTCTCTCAAGATCTCCGAAAAGACTTTTTAAGAACGAGGGGGATAAAAGATGAACCAGGACAGATTGAGTGGCATCTGGAGAAGTGACAAATATACTAGTACCCATAGACCACACAATCTTTCCATTGCCCTATCATTAACCCACAGGCTATACTCTAAAGACATGACTATTTAAATGAGGACCTCCTCCCCCCTCCTCAAAGCAACAGCGGGGTTGGAGCCCAGAGATTGGAAGGGAGAGAAGTGACTCTGCTGTCCTTCCATTGGAATCAGTCAGGCAGGATAAGCGTAGTTGGAAAATCAGGAAGGACCTAGATTAAAATCCTGCCTTTGAAACTTACCAGCTCTCTCAAAAACCACATGAAAATGAATGCTCCAAATCACTAATAACTACAGAAATTCAAATTCTAAAAATATATTTTATTTATGTCATTTGTTTTTTATGTAACTAGAATTTCCTACCAGTATTTCTTCACCTACCTGCTCCCAGAGAGCCATCTTATAAAATGAATATTTTTAAAGAAAAATTCAGCAAAAAAAGAAAAGATCAATACATCAAAGAAATCTGAAAATATCCACAGTAATGCATACTCACAGACCTCCCTCCTCTGCAAAGGAGGGTGGTGATTCAGATCTTCTCTTATCTCTTCCTTGGGCCCAAATTTGTCCTTTATAAATTCACAACATTCACTTTTGATCATTTTGCAGTATTCTTCTTTCCATTTATAACATTAAAATCATTCTGTAGATTGGTTACGTTTACTTCACTTTGCATCAGATCATGTGTCTTCCCATGATTCTTTGTATGCATCATAGTCATCATTTCTTATAGCACAATAATGTCCCTTCACATTCATGTACCATAATTTGTTTAGCCATTCCACAATCAATGGGCATCTAGTTTGTCCCCAGGTCTTTGCTATTACATAAAGTACTACTTTAGATATTTTGATGTTTTATGGAAACTTTCTTATTACCAATGACCTACTTGGGATATATACCTAGTAGTGAAATCTCTGGGTCAAAGAGCGTGGGCATTTTAGTAATTTTATTTGCACAATTCCAAATTGATTTCCAGAATGATTCAAATACTGATTCAAAGCTCTACCAACAATGCACCGGTGGGTGATCTTCCCACAGTCCCTCCAACATCGATTATTTCCACATTTCTTAATTTTGCCAATTTGCTGGGTGTAAGATAAAACCTCAGGTTGTTTTGATTTTCATTTCTCTCATTATTAATTATTCAGAGCTTTCTTTCATAGAGAAATTCAAATTAAAGTAATTCTGAGATTTCAGCTCGCACCCATCAAACTGACAAAGATGATAACATCACAGATGTTGGAGGAGCTGTGAGAATCTGGACATACTAATGTGCTCCTGGTAGAGCTATGAATTGGTCTAGCCATTCAAAACTATGCCCTAAAAGTTCCCAAACTGTGCATATCCTTTGACCCAACTATATCACTACTAGACCTATGCCCCCAAAGAGATCAAAGAAAGAAGGAAAAACATATATGTATAAAAACATTTAATAACAGCTTTTTTTGTAGAACTGGAAACTAAGAGGATGTCCACCTATCAGGGAAAAGCTAAACAAATTATGGAATATGAATGTAATGGAACATTATTATGTTATAAGAAATAACAAAATGGACCATTTCAAAGGAAACAGAAGACTTCTATGAACTGATATAGAATGAAGTAAGCAGAGCCAGGGGAAAAATTTATTCAACGACAACACCGTAGAGAAAAACAACCTTGAAAGACTGAGAAGTATGACCTATTCAATGATAAACCATGAGTTCAAAGGACTGAAAATGAAATGAACCATCTGCCTCCTGTCAGAGAGATGGATTTAAAATGCATTTTAGACATATATTTTTGGACATGACCCATGTGGGAGTTCATTTTCCTTACACATATTTGTTATGAGGGTTTTATTTTTCAGGGATTTTTTAATTGTCCAATTGGGGACAATAGGAAGGGAGCTAATAAATACTTGCAAAAATAAACAAACAAATGAATTAATAAATAAGTAAATAAATAGTTGTTTAAAAGAAAGAAACTTACTAATTCTGTGACCATGGGAGAGTTATTTAATCTTCCTTGATTCCATTTACCTCAGCTGTAAAATGGGCATAATAATGCCTGTAGTCCTTACCTTACTGAGTTGTTCAAGACTCAAATGAGGGTTAAGTGCTTTGGAAACTTCAAGGTACTATAGAAATGTCTGTGTTATTATCTAAGGTCTACCCACAGGCTCGTAAACCTTCAAGAGCTATAGAAATGGGAGTTATTATTAGGTGTAACTATATTATTAAGGTTTAGAAATGTGTCCTTGAGGAGGGCAATTACAGTGTTCCCTGGGCCCCCAGATGGTCCACTTAAAAACGATTCCACTGACATTAAGCTGTAGGGGTCCATAGAGAAATAGATCGATAGTCCATTAAAAAATGTGTGTTTTCTTAGCACCTTCCTCCTAAGAGGCCAAAACCCATAAGGATAAAATACAATTAAGCTTTGGAGCTTTCCACTGAGGTGAGTCTGGAGCACACAGAGGTGAAGGAATTTACCCAAAGTCACAACAAAATAAAGGTTAGGGAGCTCTGGGGTCACTTACAAGGCAGATGCTTCCAGAAAACTGAGCTCTGACAGGTAGAGATTGATAGGACCTTTACAATCATGACCAGCTTCCAAGCTTTTCTGGGGAACAACCAACTTGCCCAGAATAAAAAGCCAAACTCTGCTAGCCTGGTCCTGACTCTGGAATCCTAGGAAAGGGCTGGGATATCCTGTGGGCAAGCTTCTATTGATGCGGACCATTGAAAAGAGGGGCTTTGCAGTTAAGAGATCCCCAAAAGATCAGGGTGGGTTAAAAAATCCCAATACACCAAAGTTGTCATTCTTATAGTCTGAGAACTCCAAAAACTGGAAGGGATCAAAGGCTTTCTAAAGGTTGGTCTCATTCCCCCCAGGCTCTGACAGACCTAACCCTCCCAGCTCTGGCACAAATGGAGTCAGGGCTGGCTCACTGAATCAGTCTCAGAATTAGAATGTCAGCTCTTATACTCTGACCTTTTCCTTCTTCCAGCAGACCTGGGACTTCTACATCTGGAAAGTGGAAGTTTTAAAAGCCTAAAGATGCTTTTTTCATTCATTCATTCATTCATTCATTCACTCACTCATTTCCTTGTTTGTCCATTCACTCATTCATTCACTTATTGATTTATTCACTCATTATCGCTTGTTCATTTACTCACTCATTTATTCACTCACTTGTTCATTTATTCACTCATTCATTCACTCATTTGCTCACTCATTCATTCATTCATTCACTTATTCACTTGTTTCCTCATACATTTTCATTCATTCATTCATTCATTCATTCATTCATTCAATCATTCATGAGCTTTTACCTTATCTAGCCAGGAACCAACATACTACTGTGCTTGCAGCTAAATGCTGTAGTGGTTAAAGCACAGAATCTAGAGTCAAGAAGACCTAAATTCAAATCTAGCCTCAGACACTTCTAGTCCTATGACTCTTGGCAAGTCACTTAACTTCTGTCTTCCTGTTTCCTCAACTGTAAAATGGGGATAATTATAGCACCTACCTCCCAGGATTATTCTGA